CAACACCCTGCTCCCCTTCCTCCCCTTGTCTCAGATCGGGGATCTCTTGAGTTCTTACGAGTACCCAGAGCCCGGCTGAGCCGGTTCCCCACAGTTGAAACTAACTTGGATTTTTGGCTTTTAGTATAGCTTTCCAGCCCCGGTGATCGCACATCGGGGCATTGAGGAGATGTCTAGCTGCAGGACCAGCATTGTGTCCATTTTAAATAATGATGACAACCCATCGTTTGCGGTTCGCTCCGCTCCCCAATCCAGTCGGACTCACTCATCACCATCACATCATCCACATTATTCAGAACGACTACCCCCGCCCGCCAGTGACCCACAGTTCACCCGTCCCACAGCTTCATCGGAATCTCCGGCAACCTCACCACGAGGAACGAGGCATCATCCGGATGCGGTGCCTGAAGTCGTCCAGCCCGTTTCACCCGGGTCGTCCGATGGCTCAGTTTACGAATGTTTCACCAGTCAACGATCAGTTTATCATCCGTATGCCCGGCAGGACTCGCGACGGGAATCATACCAATTCCCTTCTCGCGGACCAGCAGCTTCTCGAACGCCACCTGAAACTTGTTCGAACACACCCGAAACGGCTTCTTCTCAGACCGGGGCAACGCGCAGTACGGGGCGAAAGAACAAGTACCCGTGCCCCTATGCCGCGAGCCATGGGTGCTCTTCAACGTTTACCACTTCGGGCCACGCTGCGCGCCACGGCAAGAAGCACACTGGTGAAAAGAGTGTCCACTGTCCGATCTGTAACAAGGCCTTTACGAGGAAAGACAATATGAAACAGCACATTCGGACTCACCGCACACACTCGGACGAGATGCGCTCTATTTCGGAACCAGACACTGATCCTCGGTGGGCCATGGCTCGTCCCGGCTCGGCCTACGCTTCCGTTTCCCACCAGCGCAATATCAGTCAACCTGTGGAGTCAGTAGTACAGCCTCTCCTAGGACCTGCTCCACAGGCGCCCTAGGGGCATGTAGTCTGGTTTTCTGCGACCGTCCGTGCTATTTACTGTTAGATATACGACATTCTTCTTCTATCGGTCCCTTGTGCCTGGCCACTGCTGTGCGGTGTGATTCGATTCTGTCAATCTAGTTATTTTGGCTTCTCAACATGTGTTCTTTTAATTATTATTTTTAGTTTTTTTTTGGCTTTCATATTTCAGCGTTCATCTGCATGACTGCACGTTTCGAATATCGAGACGTATAGGCCTATCATACGTGTGACTATGTGTCTTTATTATTTTCCTGTTTTATATCCCTCGTGTACCATGTGATTCTCGTGTTATGTGTGATGGTTGAAATTTGTGGCGATGTGTTCTAGGAGAACCAAATATTGTCCAGCTTCCTTTCAGGGATTCCCATGAGAAACTGTGTGCAACCAGTTCTGCACCCAACGACATCCAGAGCATCGTGTTGGTCGGATCGTAAGCCACTGGAACCCCCGAAGGCGACCCGTGGAACCATTATTTACGTTCCATCAATCTTAATCGATCTGTTGATATCATAATTGGTATACATTCTATGTGATTTGGTTTATCTTTTCAAAAGTTGAAGTAAAATACTCTCAAATCATTAAATTGTGCAAATTGCAAGGTTGGGCAGTTGGGAAATTCCCCGGGTAAAGATGCAGAATGACGTCGGATCAATATCTGATCTCTGATACACGACATCGGTCCAGATGCTCATTCGATATGCCCGCTTTGGAAACAACGGCTTTGCTGTTCTTTAGTACGTCATTGGCGTAATCTTGATTTGCAAGTACATATATCCTGTCTGTAAGAGAATCGTCTTTTGGCCTTGGATTCTCTACCTTTCTTCAATATAGTGCCTCCATGAACACTATCTCTTTCAGCCACTGCCAAGTCTCTCAGCTCCAAAGACTTCGCTCCCCCATCCGAATCCACATCGACGTCACGCCACCCCCGCCATACATCTCTGATCGCGTACGTCTTTTTGCATCCCTCACATTCTCCCAGTGAACGGTAGCAGCTCACAATCTTTGACCAGTTATCTTTCAATTTGTGCTCCCTTCGTTTTCACCTCAACCATGGCGTACTACGAAAACCGCCGTTATCGCGATTCGCGCGACCGTTACCCACGCCCCGCCAGTTACGCTGATCCGTTGGATGACACTCGTGGCTATTATCGAAGGCACGAGCAGAACATTTATGCACCCCGTGCCAGTGACGACTCGATCGAGGAAGTGCGGCGCGAATACCCATCAGGCTCAGACTATGCTCACGAGCGTTCTTATGCCTCTCGACGGCCGCGACGACCCGATTACGAGAATGGGCGCCGGGCATCCTCCGTCAGCGGTTGTGATTCACACAACGATGCTGCCTACCAAAGCTCTGGTTCTCATCGATTAAGACATTATGAGGACCAACGTAAGTGACATCGCGCTGATGTGGTTGAGATTGCTTCTAACATCTCCAAGGCTCCCGTCGCTCCAAGTACGATTCCGATTCTTCTCCAAGTCGCTCTCCGCCCCGCAATAGACGTCGCAGGTCATTTAGCGAGCAAGCCCTGGGCGCCCTCGGCCTCGGGGGTGTCGCTGCTTCGGCCAGCCGCGACGACCGTGGTCGCGGCCGTTCCCAGTCCCACCGTCGCCACAGATCATATTCGAGATCATCGTCAGATTCACGGAGTCGCAGCCGTCATCGCGGCAGCAGCAAACGTGATAAAAGCGAGCAGCGCATCATTCAAGCTGCTCGCGCCGCCTTGACAGCCGGTGCAGTTGAGGCTTTCAAACAGCGCAAAGAGCCCGGAGAATGGGCCGGTACGAAAGGAAAGCGCGTCCTCACTGCTGCTATAACTGCTGGTGGCACCGACGGCCTGGTCGATAAAGATCCTAGCAAGCATGGCACACGTCATGTGATCGAGTCTACGCTTGCAGGTCTGGCTGCCAGTCACTTCATAGGTGGTGGTTCACGCTCACGATCTCGTGGCCGAGACGGTGGTCGCTCTTCAGGTGGCAGAAGTCTCAAGAATCTTGCTGCCACTGGAGCGATCGCAGCCGCGGGAAAGGAGATCTTTGATCGATACTCAAAATCACGTTCTCGGCCTCGCGGCCGCAGCGACTCCCGTGGCAGCGACCCGGGCGAGCGTGGCTCTCGCAAGCGCAGCAAGAGCGTTTCAGATTACATCACCAAGGGCATGACCGCCCTGGGACTTGGAGAAGGTGAAGATCGTCATCGCGACAGCAGAGACCGTCGTGAGGAGCATCATCGAGAACATCGTCGGGAGCATCGGGACGATCGAGAGCGGCGACATCACCGGGGACATCGCAACGGCGACTATTCGGATTCAGATGCGGACAGCGATTATTACCACAGGGACTCGAGACGGGGTAGAGGCTCGAGAGATGTAGGTCGATACCGTTCATTGGACGGAAGAAACCCACCCCTAAATGCACCCACCAGCGCTTCGCGCGGTGATTCAGGTGCCGGTTCTAAGGACCGCGGCCATGGGTCGAGCTATGAAAGTGATTCTGACCTAGGTGACAGTTCTGATGAAAAGAAGCAACGCAAGAAGTTGAAGCGGGATATGCTGATCACGGGAGGTCTGGCTAGCGTGGCTACCATCCACGCTGCGCACAGTCTTTACAATGGCGTGGAGAAGAGGAAAGAGCGGATGCACCAGTTGAAAGAGGGAGAGATTACGCCCGAGGAGGCCCGCAAACTTCGCATGAAAGCTAATACAAAGGACGCCGTGAGTATCGGTCTCGCCGCACTTGGTATCAAGGGTGCCTATGGTGAATGGAAGGAGGTTATGGAGAAGCGCAAGGAAACTGCCCATTTCCAGGAGGAATGTCTTCAACGTGCTGCTAAGCGTGAGCGTCGCCGTGCTCGTAGCCAGGGTGCACCTTCCCGTCGTCATCACTGGCCTGATGAAGTTGAATCTGCACCTTCAATGCATGAACCACGGAGCGAAAATACCCCGATTTATCGTGATGGAAATCCGTACGGGGCTCATGACGCACCGCAGATCTCTTACTAGTGTTGTTTTGTTACAAGCCATCATGATTGCTATGCTTTCCACGACTTGTGAGACCTTGTTTCGCTCGTTTTTCCCCCCTTTCCTGCGTTCTGAATTCCCTTGATCAATCTCTTCTGTCGCCGATATTGCAATTTCCCTGTTGTTGCAGCGTTATTTGGACACGAGCCATACGATGAAAATAGGGAGAGTCACTCCAACTTTACGTGGGTAAGCTACGTTTTTTTTTCAAGACTTAACACGTCCTGTTTACACGAACAAAGAACATGTATCTCAATGGTTCAAATTCTATTAGTGAATGGACGCATATGGTGTACTATGTAGAATGGACGAACAACGTTGACGAATATCCCTTTGGACTGCCGAGGATCTGCTTACGTTTGAATACGATCAAGATGACCTGGCCAAAGAGATATGCTTCCACAATCTGGAGATCCACTGCTCTTCTTGTTCCATTTTTGCTTCGCAAACTTTTGCAACAGTTCTATGGGTGTCAACAAACCTCCTTTGCCCCTTGCGCAGTTAGATCCCCAGCGCATGTCGGTCTATTTCGCACCAACCGAACAATACCGATCACGACAGAGACTTTGATGTATCACACAAACAACGTGCACAATCTTGCATATGTTGGCCTTCCTTACACAATACAAGGGCTAAATTCGATTGCATGCCAGGGCGTGAATGGAGAGACAAGTCTTTTCGGTGATGCTCTCTGGCTGGTCGATTTCCCCCTCTGGGCAGCAGCACACGTATGTAAAATTTACAAAAAGCCACCAACATTGAGCAGGATATTACACCTCTGTAGTTCGACCAAGGGCTAAACTACCGTGACGCCTCGTGGTAGCCAATCGAGAGCAAAGGGCTTTCTCCAACCACTAAACCCCCGTACTAAGGTCAAATCATGGTTGCCAGTGTCATCGGACAACCAAAATACACGCCTATCGTCAAGATTTCTTTAGCTGGGGATACGGAGTCCGCAACTTCCCTAACACAAAGGATATCAACTGTCGAAGTTGGTTGTGACAAATCTGCGGGCTTTCAACTAACCCAAATCAAGTCGCCCCCACAGCATAAACTCGCTAGCATCAAACGTTTGAGTGGTCGAGGCAGCCACGCGATGGAGAACAATATTATTGGTGGTATTTCAATTGATCATGCATTGAATGAGGGGATGTCGGTTCAACGGCATGCGAACGAAGAGACAAGGATTGCAGAATGGGCTGCTTGCTATCGTAGTTCTGGACCCTTCCCCCATTCTCTTCAATGATCCGCTCGATTTCGAGTGTGCAATGCACTTCAATTCCAAACCTGATAACCACAAATCAGCAAAACTGTAGTCACGCAGTTTATGATAGGGCTAAGGGAGACTGGACTGCGCACCTCGAATTTGGCCCCAGGGCTGACTACATGGCCTCCGTTTCCCTGGTTTAGATTTGAAACGTTCTCAGATTATGACACTTGTCGTCTGTTCTTTTTGACTCTTTATTCTTTATTCTTTGTTTCTTTTCATGCTCAACCATGGCTTTGTCGCGGGAGTCGCAGCGCTCGCTGCTATCCGAAGATTTGATCAACGCTCCACCCGAACGTTCTTGGAATCCATTCAACAATCGTCTAACGGACTCGGGCCATCGCTACCATGCCCCCTCAGATAGCACCAGTAGCTGTTCTGAAGAAGTCCTGCGCGATGTTGGTCTAGGCATCTCGAACTCATCGGGCGACACCATCCCGGGACAAATACCGGCGTACAATCGCCATTCGACCGATAGCACTGTGACTACAACTCCAAACAGCTACAGTGCTTCGCAGACTCCACATACGAGCAACGGTTCTCCAGAAACGGCTCTCGTGGGTCCCGTTGACAGTCTTGGTGCTCGCTGTTTATGCCACCGTCTTTTCAGGTCGTGTTGCGATGCTCGGGGTCCATCTCCACGGTAATAGGTGTCTTACTGTTTGGTGCGATGTAATACGTGTTTGCTAAGCTGGAGGCTACCTTGCCCTGGAGTACTCTTGACTCAATAGGACCAACAGAGAGCTTTTAGATCCACTGCCGTTGATTAGTATTTAACATGAGTTGTGGATCAAAGATCAAAAATTTACCCAAAGCCTGCGCCGCAGTGGTGTATAGCATCGCCACGAACGTCGAACCCAACGCAACCGACCCAAGGACAGTGAGCGCCGAATATCGCAGCGCCTCCCAATGCACAATCATGGATCCGGGTTGCATGATCCAGGCCCTCATATTCAAATCCGAGATACTGATTCCACGGGAACCCCTCATCAATGCCCTCCGACTGAGCGCCTGTCCCAGAAACGCGTCGCAAATCGTGACATACGGCAACTCGATAGTCTTGGTAAAGAATGCGCTCAGCAAAGTTGCTGTAGACGGAACCAACGGTCCATCGATGGAGACAGAGCACTATCGGGGCTTGTCTAGTGCAATACCGAGGTAGATACCTGCCTCCAGATTGACCGCGTCGGCCACGCATATCACAACTACCAGCAATGGATAACCCAATGGACCCAGCTAATAACCAGCAAAAACGAAACCTCAAGCCAACTCCAAAAGCGCCCACAGCCAACAGGCTCACTCTGGGATAACACCACAGTAACAGGCAGCTGGGTCAACATCCAAGACATTGCAACGCTGTCTAAGAAGCACGGCCGAATGGTCAACAACATAACAATGGAAATGCCGCATGGCGGCATCCCCGCCGCAGCGATGAACGCCAAAAACAAACTTAAACAATCCACAGACATCTCCGGTGAAGAAAAATACAACATTGAAGCCTCCGTCCCCTCGCCAGCCATCAACGTCCTCCACACCGGAATGACAAAAGAGGAGTTCAGCCCCCCAGTATACGCCATCTGGCCCGGCGGCAACAAATTCAACACCACAACCTGGAATACCTCACCTCCCGACAACATCCCTTCTCTCGCAGGCTGGAAAAACCGCACCGTCGTTGACTCGCTCTTCGAATTTGGCCCGAAACACAGCCAAACCGCACCGATTTTTCGGCAAATACCCACTTCCATACAACACAATCCTCAACACAACAGGAGCCTGGCCCATAAACGCCATCTACCTCCTCAGCGCAACGCCCTCAACAAAGAACACCCATATGCCGGAGTACGTGATGTATTCTTTGCGCGCAAAACAAACAGGCGCATGCTCGACCAAACACTCCGCCGACAATAGCGGCGCATTCCTCAGCACGGACTGCGAGAACGCCTCAAACGGCCTACAATACGACCGACGGCAAGATGTATTCTATGAGGACATGTGGGACGCGGACTGGAAGAACATTGCGTCGGAGTAGGCGAATGCAGTCAGTTTGAATGCGGGTATTTCAGACGGCGCGGCTACCAATGCCAGACTGCTGATGCAGTTTGATGCCACGGTATAACAAGACCGAGGAAACTTTCGCGCTGGACCCGAATCTGCCGTCCATCGCCGAGGCGCTGGCGGTTATGGCTGGGAGTACGCTTCTTCTAAGCTCGCAGAATGCGCCGTTCGTGCCGTTTTGGAATTACAGTGGGAACTTGAATGTGCTTCCCGAGCCTGTCTACCAGATCTTCAATGCTTCAATCCAGGCTGTTGGGTATGCTTCCGGTGGGACGGAGCAGTGGTAGGGGATGTTCTATGTGATTCTTGTTTTTGCATTCCTGGCCAGCGCTGTCTGTCTCGTGTTTATGGTTGTCGAAGAGCGGGGGCGACAGGTGACTGATTTCACGGAACCGCAGAATTTGTTCGCGCTTGCTGTCAATAGTCCGCAGACGAGTCGGTTAGAGGGTGCTTGTGGATATGAGCCTTTGGGGATGTGTTATGGAATTAACCTGGTTGTGGTAAAGATGATCTTATTACTATGGAATTGTTGCGTAGGATAAGTACGCTGCTTAATAATGCGTATGTCATCATCCATCCCTCACAGGGAGCAGCTGAAGGAGAGGTGGTTTATTGGGATGGAGGAAGAGGATGAGCATTATTACAATCGGAGTAAGACAGAGGAGAATAGTCCTCTTCTTCGGAAGACGGTGGATTCGATGTATCTGGGGCACATGGAGATTGACGATGGGGGTGGGAGGATGCTCAGTCCTATGGTTGATGAGTTTAGGAAGGTCTCGAAGCGGCATTCGGTTTTGGTAAAGCTGTATTGAAGAGACATTCCTACATCTTCACGTAGGCGATTTTGGTGAAAACGGTTTTAGATACGATGATGGTTAATGTTTGGAGTACTAGATACAATGAAAGATGTTTCAAGCGTTAGGGCATGGCTGGAGCATGCGCTTGATTTCAAGTGATTCATACTCGCATCGAGATATGTACAGTTTGACATGAACACCACACCCATACAAGAACAACTAGATCGACACATTACTGGCACAGCCATGAAGTCAAGTGAAAAAAATCCAAAAAAAATCCAAAAAAAACTTCCGGTTCAATATGTGTGACACAACGCTAAGGAATCGCTTATACACACAAACATTAAAACGAAGAAGATGCTAGATGCAGGCAAGAATGCAGCACCTCAAATGCAAAGACACAGAGCAGTAGGCTTTTTCAAGACACTAGCCACGGAGATGCCATGAAAGGAATGAATGAAAGAGAGAAGATAGTCGCCAGTGATCTGGCGAGGTGGGTATTCTTGAAAAAAGATAAAGGAGAGTAAGGGAGAGTTGGGCTCCAAATGAACTGTAAGTCGGAAAAATTGGACGAACGTATGTTAACGACCGGTCTTAAGATTGAGCCAGCTCATATCTGAATTGGTACTGTTCTTCTGCTCTTGCACTGGAATTTCGTCGATATCATGTGGTATGATGACGCTTGGTATTCGTGCATTGGACTGTCTTGCCGTTTTCGCGAGGCCGGCATTCGATGATTCCCAGGGCATATCTTGCATGCTAGGCTGGTAGAAGCTGGTAGTGTAGTTGCTGCTTGTGGGGCGTCCAAGCCAGCTGCCATGGCCCGCACCTTGCCAACTTGGATCATCGTGGTTATCGTCTGAGGCGATGCTGATTGTATCTGCATAGGAGATTCGTGCCGATTGGCCCTCCGGGATCACTAAGCTTCGACCGCCCAACTCATGGGAACTGTGTTCCGTGGTTGGGCTGCCGCTGAGAACGTGGCCTAGTGGCTTGGGATGGTCGAGGAAGCCCAAATTCAATGGTGCCAAGGTAGACATCGGCCAGGCGCTTCCGCGGTAATCGGACTTGGTGTAGGTGGAGCTTATTGACGAGCGGTCGGATTGCAAGTTAGTCGCACTGCGGTCCTCAAAGTATTTCCCCCAGCCTTCGTCGGTCAGTCGGTCAGCAGCCTGGTTTCCAGGCCCGGTGTTATCGCCTGCCTGACTGGTGTTACCGGAGTAGACGCTTGATGCGCCCATGGCACCGCTGGTGGAAATTGTAGAGAGCGGACTACTACTCTTAGGCTGAGGAGACAATCCATAACCCGTATTGATGGGTGGCTTGAGGGTTTTCTCTCCTTGATAGTGGCCGGAGAAAATAGCCAATGAGTCGACCGAAGCAGCGGCGATTGGAACGGGAGATCTTGCCATCGGGTAAGCACTTTCAGTCAGGGGGTCTAGGCCTCGATCCTGGAAGCTCAGGCGGTCTTTGTCATCACCACCACGACCATTTCTGCCTCCCTGTTTCTTATTCTTGCGTCGCAGTAGGAGAAGAATGATAAGCAGAATCAAACCAAAGCCGAGGATGCTCCCAAGAGTCGCGCCAAGAACCATTTTGCCATGATCAGTCAAGCCGCCTGCAGTCGCAACTGGAGTTGATGAAGAAGTGGACGTAGTTGAGGCTGAGGTCGCCGTAGATGTGAACGATGAAGTTGACGTCGAACTTGATGAAGTGAATGATGTAGTTGACATCGAAGTAGATGATGTGACTGACATAGTTGACGTCGAAGTAGATGATGTGACTGACATAGTTGACGTCGAAGTAGATGATGTGAATGACGTGGTAGATGGTTTGAGAACATGTTGATCTCCTTTTCCGTAAAACAGCTCTGTAGAGTTGACCCATGCGTTGGAAGTCTGGTTAAAGATTGCCAACGAGTTGTTACTTTGGCCGCTGGCGAGAATGACCAAGCCATTACCCTGGGCGAGCGTATAATCAGACCAGGATTCTGTTGGGGCAAATGTGCCGTTGTAGGAATCGGTGAGATCCCTCTTTCCCGAGGATGCGATGGCTGTCACCGGGTTCTGCACCTCTCCTTTCAAGCTAAGAATGTAGCTCGTAACCCGATTTGGGGAAGCCATCATGTTAAACTCCTCGAGGACCTTGGTCCCGGAGTCGGAAGCGAATGCACATAGAGATGAAGAATCGATTGCAGTGGGAAGAGTCGCCTCTGAGATGGTCCAGCCTTTGTTACTTGTGGACTCGTAGATAAAGATAGCAGTATTGGTGGCAGAGCCTCCTATCAAAGCTACCTCGGAAGAACTCCAAGGCAAAACGACGGGCTCATGCAATGCCGGTGCGCCCTGGTCGAGCCCGGACGACACGATAAATGGGGGCGCTTTGGTTGAAATGAGGAGTGTCGATTGAGAGGCCTGTGTGCTGCCATCTGTATTTCCTGCATAGACCAAGATTTGCGAAGTTGAAGATATGTACCCGGCACCATGGCCCACCCGATCTTTCATCGACGGTGAATCCATGGTTAATGTCTCCCATTTCTGTGTACTGAAAGAAAAGCGTTGGAGGCCGCTGTTACCGGGGGATCCGGTCCCGCCGACCAGATACAATGCTTTTTTATCTTCGTCATCTTCAATCCCTTCGATCCCACCTTGGACGCAGACAGGGCCAGTAACCGTGTATTCTGGGGATGGAAGGGTCTTCCAGATCCCATTCTCTTTCAGAGGTAGTGATTGAAAGCCCGTGGGCGAATAAGTGTAAAGGGTGTTGCTGTGAACAGTGGAGCAATCGCCCTCGATTTTAAGTAGGGGTTTGGGACCAGTCATGTTGAAATTGTCAAAAAGGATAGATCAAAGTCGCGATGGAATCCGGACCAGGAGTGAAGGTGAGTGGCCAGCCAGCAAGGGACTTGAAAGACCCAAATTAGAAAAGAAAAGGTAGCTGCCAGAGCACTATCTCATCTCGACCGAGGCAGATGAGCTAAAAATGGCCAACAAGCCACACTCGCTCCGAGCGAGTTGCCGTGATAACGGGTGACGTGAACAAGGGTTTCCAACTGCTTTCCGCGTGATCAACTGCGATGTGAAGTGCTCAGAGCGAAGTCAAAGTGGATCGCGTATCGGATGACTCGGCGACTCGGGATCCCACAATCAGAGCAGTGGTTCAAGCGTGTCAACAACGGGATCAGAACATAGACGTGTTCAACGATGTCAAGTGATCACAAAGATCTGAGGCTGGGCGATCCAGTCGTATGTGCGAGAAAAAAAAAATTGGTTAAGGCCAACACAACCCGATTAAGCGAATGGGGGGGGGTTTGGTTGGCGAAAAGAACGAATGACTAGAATATCAAAGTGCACAGCACGTAAATGCAGATAGTAAAAGGAGAGAAGAGAAATAGAAACCACACGATCTTAGTGAAACAGGGAGAAGGGTCTCTCGACCCCCTAACGGAGGAGGTTAGCAGATGGCTTAGGGGGGGTTAGCGAACGAGACCATCCCTTAAGGGGAACAATTCCGTCATTTTCAATTCGCTCTGGGCTTTTTTTTTGTTAAGTTTCTACTTCCCGTTAATTTGGCTTATTTCATTTTGATTGGGCTTGAGAATCATTCTCTTAACATCATGCGTTCTTATTGGTGCTCTTCACCTTCATCTATTCTCTTCTATATTGATCAGGGGCTCTCCCGCGAGCAGTCCCGATGAAGTGGGACCACGACTCCGTACCTGAATCCCGTTTTATACGCACTTTGTACTTGATTGATTTTCAATGCATCTAGGGACCTCATGCATAGACTGCAAGGGTTAGTGCAGATGTAATGCACAACCAGATTAGATACAATCTGTACTTAACAGTGCAAAAACAAAAACAAAAACAAAAAACAAAAACAAAAAACAAAAAATAAAGAAATAGAATTTAAAAAAAAAAAGACCTTGGAAGGCCTACTCCAAACCCGTGGTTCCTGACCGTTGGACCCACGGGAATTCTCAAACCCTGGCGCCTTGGCGTGCCACTTCCAAGGTTCTTCCTCTGCACTCCGTACTTCCATCCTGTATAAGAGCCGGAGTCTTCATCAAAAGCATTGATTTTACACATCCATGGATACTAAATTCCTTACTCTCTCCATTTCAAAGTTAGATTGGAAGTTCACTATGTTACTAAAATTATGACAAAGGGCTGGCGCTTGTATCTGCGAATTTCCAATTTTGATCACACGTTAACAGCATATAGCCTAGTTTCAATTACTCATCCCCATATCGCATGCGCATGTCTTGGCCCTGGAATCTCAAACTTCTACAGTCATTCTACGCCCCTATTGTGCCCAAATCCAATAGCAATCACCGCACGAGCATATCTTGGTGCCGTGGAAATTCTTCTTGCAAATGCCACAAACATCATCGACAGGCTGATCTGTAATCTGGCCCCCCACTGTTAGAAAAAAGATGTTAGTTAGGAGCTATCAATTGACATCGATGTGAGCGATCAATCACGATTCTTAGTAGGATTCGAGGGAAAGTACGCATGAAACCTGAGGAAGACCATGGTTTCGATAATTGTAGGCAATGTTGAAAAGAGTGAATGTAAGGATTAAAGCAAGGCTTGTGGAATGATGAGCTTGTCGATTGAAAGCTGGAAAGGATATTCGCTATTGATGGCTCATCAAGGTCAAGAATGGGTAGCACTTTTTTTTTTACAAATCCAACTGGCTAAAATAAGCATCCTGAAAAGCTATCCAAGTCCCCTTTGTTTTGTGGCCTTGATTGTCAATGTGCACGATTGTTTATTGCCACTATGCCTTCCAGGACTGCCAAAGTCTTCATCTTTTTTTCTTCATGTCTTAGCTTCTGTTAATTAAGATTCTCTATTCAGGGTCCTATTTTTACCCGTCTGTAATGTGAACTAATTCCCAATTCGGTAGATCCCGATGTTGTAGTCCCCCAGTTCGCTTTACATAGATTGGCCCCCAATATTAGATACTGATAACTGCTTCAGAAGTCACCTGGGCAATCCGGGACATCCAATATCCTGTTAGGTAACAGTTCATCTAGTTATCCTTCTACGTTTGCCGTTGAATATATCGGCTCGAACAGTCTGTCCTTGCCCACTAATTCGGTACCCAAATCAGCTCAACATACATTTAGATATCTTTTTCGGTTATAGTCGTTCAAAATGCAGATGCGAAAAAACTCTCAACAGTGAGGTTCTCTGAAAGCAGTCTTACCAGGAGTGACCTATTTGATAAAGATAAATCAGAGATTCGAAGCGTCTGAAAGTGGCGTTTCTTGCAAGAGTTTAAAGGATGATCTCCACAAAGGGCTTTGGTTTATTCCCCGAATTGAAACATGTCACATGTTTTGATTCAACTACGGAGCACGTAGTATAGGTTTCAACTATGCGCAGCTGCGAATAGTTATCAACGTATGATCAAGCAATTCTTGACAGATCGCTTGTGATCAACTGGTAGCTGTGGATGCCTTATATCCAGAATCCACATGACCATCATGGCCGAGAAGCATTAACCCATTCAATGGTATCTTAATTAGCATCAAGCCATAAACAAACACTCAAGATCATTGCACAGGGGAATCTTGATGCGCACCGTGAAAGTACCTCGGGTGTGAGGGGTTGGGCTATGGATCGTGGGGCAGTGGAGCAGTGGACAGGTCTGTTCCTGAGACCTGTGGGAATGTCTCAGTTCTCCGTGTTTTGAATGTTAGAGTTTTTGATATATTCACGTTGTGTACGGAGTGCACATTTACTATCTCATGATATCGTACGGAGTAATTGACAAGCTATTCTGGTAGAATGGCAATCACGCAGATAGATGGGTAACCGCCTTCTGTTCAGCTCCTACAAAAAGTTCGCTCGATCTCTGATTCAGACGACGCAAACACACCACAGACATGTACTACCTAGTCAGGTACCCGCCCCACTGAAGGATTCTCAGCGGAGATCAAGTTGTGGCACAACAGGATGAGGGGAATATGTAATGGGAACTGGTGTGGTGGCCGGCATGCACGGCATCCATATCGCATACTTGCCTGGATGTAGGGGACAGTCTCATTTCGAAGACACTAACATCGGCTCGCGCCGCTTAGCCGGTGACACCGAGTCGATCGAAAAAAGAGAGTTTGGCTGGGTTTCATGTCAGTTGCAGATGTCGAAAATCGTTTTTTGGTCTGATTATTATAACACAAGTCCGTTTTCGTGGCCATGGGCTTTGCGTGATGTTTCCGTCATGGAAAGGACCCAAGTGGCAAATATGGGAGTCAATTGATTTTGTAAAATAAAAAACTACCGCATGCCCTAGGACTGGTTCTGCTGCTTCCATTGGTGTGCCTTTTGGAGCAGACGAGAAAGGTTGGCAGCAGATTGATCGTCTGCAGGGAATACGTGGTCCATATACTCCTCGTACTTGTCGTCCGCCAACTTGCGGCGCTTCTTGACGCGTCGGGGCATCTGTTTTTCGACCTTTTCAATATCCTCGGGCGATCCAGCTGCAAGTTCGAATTCTTGCCACAGGTTGAGAATTTCTACGCGCTGTAAACAGGTCAGAATAGCCCGAAGATCGTGTGAATGATGGAAAGAGCAACTTACATCATCCTTCAAATCCTTGTCTTTGAACACTTTGTTTGCCCGAGCAAAGACTGCACGCGAGCGGATTATTGCGTCTTCGCTGAGTGGCTTCTCCTCTTCCTCTTCTTCCTCTTCCTCGCCCGGCACAGAGGACTCGAAGCGGGCGTAGTTGAGCCAGACCTTGATGTGATCGGTCTTCTGGAGGAGACGTTCATACAATTGTCGAACTCGCTCGTACTCGCCTTCGCCTTCTTCAAAGTCGATATAAGCCTTCCACACAAGCTCGGGCATGTCTAGTGTCGGTTGCTCGATGCCAAGCTCAAAAATAGCCCTCGCCCGTTCCACGTCGTCTAAGTGATGCTCCAGCTCCGCGAACTCCAACCATGACTGGCTGTTGGAGGGGTTCCATTCGATTTGTTTCTGGAACAACGTACGGCACCGCCCGAACTCGTACATCCGATGTTCCATAGCGATGTAGCCACGGAAAAGTTTGTCTTTCGGACACATTCCAATCGCCTGGCCCAGTGTCTTCCGTGCCGCTTGTAGCTGCATTTGACGAACCTCAAAATGTGCCTTCATGAGCCAGACTTTGGCGAATGTGAACTTCTTGTGCGGGATAATCCGCAAGCATTCCTGGTAGATTTGCCCGGCGCGTTCTGTATCCTTCGCTTCCATTTCTTCCCACACAGCGTAAAAGATCCAAAGATAGATATAGCGGCGCCAATGTCTTTTCTCTTGTGATGGGGGAATCTGTGCAATGGCTCGTTCGTAGATGTCCCGCACCCGCTCTGGGTCGCCCGAAGTTTCCTCCAGTCGTGCAAAGTCGAACCAGATATCATAGTTGCGAGGGTTCTCTTTGAGCTGCTCTTCATACTGCACTCTGCGCTTGGACATTATCACATCCTCCACACCTTCACGATCACCGAATTGCTTTTCAAAGGTTGTATAGGCCTTGTGAAGGGCCATAGCCTTGGACCGCGGAAGTCGGTCTAGGGCGTACTTGTAAATCGCTCGTGCGCGCTCATACTCCTTCAACTTGGCCTCGAATTTGGCATAAGCGGAAAAGAGCTTCTCGTCCATGAAGTCCTCGCCTAAGGTTTCGATAGCCACACCATAGACCTCGCGAACCAAGTCACTTGTGCCATACTCCTCCTCAAACCGGGCCCATTTGATCCAGTTTCGGGGTTCGGGGTGGACGACGGTAAATCGTTGGAAAATGGCGCGTGCTCGTTCGAATTCACTGTATCTCTTTTCCATTTTGATGTAAGCGCCCCATGCACCCTCTTCCGGCTCCCATGACATCCATCGCTCAAACACTTGACGGGTACCGGGAATGTTGCCTAGTGTCTCCTCCATGTAGACATACTTGTACCAGAGCTTGTCGATGCGGGGCAGGATGGTCACGGCGCGGTCGAGGAGATTCCGGGCATGGTTGATATTCCGATTCTTCATCTCAGCTTCGATGTAGCGAATCCATAGCACCACCGAGGTCGGATCAACGTCGAGCGCACGCTCGAAGATGGATCGTGCCCGACGGAATTCTTTTTGTTCGAGCTCCCAGGCGGCATAGCGCATCCAGTTGTTCATGTTAATGCGGTTGCGCTGCACATAGTCTTCAAACTCCTTTCTTTTTCGACCTTGGTACTCGTGAAGTTCTTCAAGATCGGCAAAGCGCTGTGTCGGCGTCTCAAGGCCAGGCTCTTGCCGGTCAACCGCCTCGCGGAGCAGTTGCTCCGCAGAGATCTGAACAGGCGCGGCCGCCTTATTCTTGACCCGGGGAGGTCCACGTGAGGCCTCCATTGTGATATTACTGTATTGACTGATCCCGGTAAAGAGGTAGTCCGCGACTGAAGAAGATGTAAGGTGAAGTTCAAGAACGTCGAAATTGTCGGTCAAGTAATTAGGGTTGTGAAAGACGAGAAGTTTGGAAGATCAAGTTGGCTTCCACAGACTGCGGCGATCGCTTATCTCGAAAATTGACAGGGAATCTTTTCACGCCCATTCCAGTGACGCCGAGGGTAGCTTGGACCCGTAGCTCAGAGAATCCGCGATGAAATCGCCAAACTGCGTGACTGGTCTTTGTCGTCCCCCGTGCATGCAGTTTCCTTGTGACTAAGCACACCTTTTCTTCCAACCTTGGAGACTTTGGGTAGCTCATTGCTCTGTTTCTAGTTTACTCAGTGGCTTTCTGAGACCACGATCACACACGCACCTCAGTCTACGGGAGCGAACCCGCCACACAACTCCTGAGTCAAAATGTCGACCGCCGAAGAGCTTCTACGCGACTTTGAGGATGACGAGGAGGACTTCGATATTGGCGAAGGCGAGGAAGTCGACGAAGAGCTTGAGCAACAGGAAGACTCTAAAGAAGGCGCCGGTGTCTCTAACGACTTCGACCGCTCTATTTCTACCGCTGATGAGTTGACACGCCTACACAAAGTCCTACGTGACCACTACTCCATCCGATTCCCCGAACTCGAAAGACTCGTCACCACTCCCATCAAATACGCCAAGACAGTTGCTATCATTCAAAATGGCCCTTTCAACGACATCAAGGCACTGTCTACATCAGCAGATAACATGGCTGGTGTCCCACTTAAGTCGGTCTTAGACGGGCCGTCTCTGATGGCAATTGCGATGGAAGCAACCATCACTAAAGGCCGGGAGATGAGCGAATCCGAGCTCAAGCTTGTTCTCGATACATGCGAGAGGATTTTAAAGCTTGATCATGAGCGCGCTGTTCTTACCGCAAGCATCCAGTCTCGCATGAACCAGATTGCCCCCAACTTGGCTGCACTCATCGGCGCCGAAACGGCTGCACAGTTTCTCAACCAGACAGGTGGCTTGCTTGAACTAGCAAAGATTCCCTCCTGCAATTTAGGTGCACAAGGATCACGCAGATCAGAAGGACTGGGCTTTGCAACCAATCACGGTGTTCGAGCACAAGGTTTCCTCTACGACTCGCCACTTCTCCAAGAGGTTCCCCTGGACCTCAGGAAACAAGGAATTCGAATTGTTGCGGCCAAAATGGTCCTGGCCACCCGTGCCGATGTCTCTAATTACGCCAAGGACGGTTCTCTGGGCGAAGAGCTTAAGCAACAATGCTATACGCGACTGGAGAAACTCACTGAATCCGCGCCAAACGCCGGCACAAAGGCTCTCCCTGCACCCGATGACAAACCCTCCAGAAAGCGAGGTGGTTGGCGGGCTCGAAAGGCCAAGGAAGCTGTTGCTATGACGGAACTACGGAAGGCACAGAACCGTCTGGCATTCGGCAAGGAGGAGTCGGAGGTGGGCTATGGCACGGGCTCTGGAACTGTTGGCTTGGGTATGCTGGGGCAACAAGACGATGGTCGCATCCGCGCAACCCAAATCGACCAGCGCACCCGCGCTCGACTCAGCAAGAGCAACAAGGGCTGGGGCACAAACACCCCGGCTAGCGGCACTGCCTCATCCTTGCGTGGCTTTGGCCAGGGTGGTACAAGTGGCACTGCAAGCGTTCTTCAAGCACGAGGTATTCGTGCGTCGGGTGTCGGATCGTCTCTACCGGGCGCTGCTGGTACCTCTAGTACTATCGCATTCACACCTGTCCAAGGCCTGGAGCTGGTCGATCCAAAGGTGCAAGCGGAATTGAAGCGCAAGCGCGATGCCGAGGAAAATCGGTGGTTCAAGTCTGGCACTTTCACTCAAGCTCCTAACCAGAATCTCGGCAATTCCCAGGGCGGTGAGAATGGTGGCTTCAAGGTGCCTGCCATCCCACTCAAGAGGAAGGCTGATACAGGCGATGGCAAGATGGGCCCTCCACCCAAGCGTTGAAAGTTATGTTTTTCCAATTCGCTTGATTGCTTTTCTCGGGTCTTAGCATTTTGCCGGCGTTCTAAGGGGAAGATCAGGAGGCCTGAGCTTCTATGATTTACGTGATACCAAACCGATTGTACATTAGAATCTGACTATAGACCTGAAATCACTTTTGTTTTTGAACGAAAAAAGAAAGGACAGTGAAACCTAATCATCACAACCCCTGATATATCGAATCCCCGTTTAAGCGAACTAAACCCGGTACTTCTGTCCATCGTTACATCGATCTTCCCCAGCTACGAAATTCATTCTCTTCCATGTACAACATAGCGTTTGTTTCGAGGCTGAGTCAGCTATTTGACCAATTAAACATGCCTTGTGGGCCTATCCCCACTACTTCAATGCTTGGTCTCTCAAAAGGTCGCTCGAGATTAGCGACTTAGGATGAAACTTAGTGTAAAGCTTCTGTAGAAATCTGGGAGTTTGCCATCGGTGAAGAAACTATAACCAAACGTTTAACAATGGTAAGACCGTTAAAACGGTATAAATCTATAAAATCAGAGATGTCTATCAAATATTTGATCTACGCCATGACGAACTTCTCTGTTTCATTTTAATTCGGTATACATGTTCACTGTACTGATCTGATTCCATTTACTACTATATATACCGAACCAGCGGGAAAATAAAAGAGACCAACCCCAGAAAAGAAGTTGAAAGGGTTTCGGGGGGGGGGGGTGGGCTTGCCAAGAATTGCACCATCTCAAGGGCTTTGGGAGACTCGACAGTTTAGGGTTCCACAGCACATGGATATTTGAGAATTTCGAATCCTTGAGATTAACTTGGAGCGGGATTTGATCCTTCGACATAACATAGATTGGAATTAGTCAACCCAATAGACCAACGTTAAAGGAACAACCGCCCAACTCTGAATCTCGACTTCGCTCACATTGCGTGCTCGAACTGTCTTCCTAGCACACAATCGTGGAATGTGGTACAGGATCCATACAGCGGGACAGAGACTCTATATAAACCCTGGATTGTCTGCAAATCTCTGGTCGAAATGGCGTATATCGTCGAGAATTTTTATCTTCCCTAAAACCCAGATTCGCCTCCCCATTCCGAGTTTTTGCCGAATATTGTCTTTTCCCCTACTCGGCTTCAATTCTTTCCCCCCCTAAAATTTGGATTAATTCGAGTGGTCACAGATTCATAGAGACCCCTGAAACAATGACAGTTATCATAGCCAACTCGGTCCTCGACAATGTGGTCCCAGCTACCAAAAGCCTCCCGGACCAGGGCCAAGAGCAAAAGGTCCCCAACTTAACTCGACTCGTGCATCATAGCCATGTCACTACAGAATTCGATCCTTTGAGATTTGAAGCTGCCGCATCCCTGCAACTGCAACTGCAGCTTGAGAAGCAATACCTAGACACAGAAACAGACACGCGACTCATTGTATCGCCGTACAACAGTGTCCCCCATCTGCTGGACATTTCTGCACTAGAAAGACAAGATCGACTCTTCGCATTGGCATTGGCATATCTCAAACCTATCCGCGACGACTATGCTACCGCTGAATACGCGGAATCATTTAATTGGACAGAGGTGTATGATTTGTTGAGAACTCTCTCACAGGCAGAGAACCACGCATGGAAGTCACAGTCATATTATGTTGTGATTTTCCGGTCAATTCTGTTGCCGGATGTCGACTCGGACCGTCTTTATGACCTCGATGCGCATTCGCACCAAGAGGCCACTGCCAGTGGGGGACTGTTGAAGTACTGGTTTGGGGCGAAGAATGATAAACATCGGAATTTGGCAACTTGTGAGTTTTCAGCTGTTCTATTTTGAACAGGCTGACCACGGCTAATCAACCCATTCAGGCATTTGGCGCAATCGAAATGATGCAAGACTTGGTGGCCGTGGACCTTGGCACGCCCAAGCCAGAGCGGCCGCCACAGTTATGTACGAGGAGATTCGGTTCACTACGCTGAAGTTGAATATTGAGGATGGAGTACAGTCTTGGAAGCTGAGTCCGTGGAAGGAAGATGCTTAAAGAGCAGGATTGTCACTAGGAGACGTTGATTGATGCATTTGACTGGAGTTTAGACTGGCATGCTATGATGGGCCTGTATATGTTCGTGAATTACAAGTTTTTATATGAGTTTACACTATGGTGCGCCTTTTTAAATACCTTGCCTTGCAAACTTCCGACGTCCCCCCTCCCCTTTTCTCTCATACCAGCATCGTGCTGGATTAAATCAGACTGGAACTCTTCGAAAGGATCGAAACAAGCCCCATTTAGGACGACAATTGATTATTTTCATGTCTTCGTACAAGAAGTACTAAGCCTCGCGCTTAGAAGCCTTATCTCCCTCATCCGAACCCTTCCAACTTGAACATGCTAAATCTCGGCTATTAAACGAGCAAAACAGGACCGAGAATAGGAGAAAGGTGAAGTTGATCTATCTATTAGTGAGCACTTCAGTGTACCCACTGATTTTCGTCCGCTGAGATCTGCTCTAGACAACACTAGCAAAAAAAAGACCGGATCTACGAACTCTCCGCAAGTTCTACGCCGATAAATATCCCAACAGCACAAGTAAGCTCAGAGGGAAACCCAGGCTTGCGGAACGAAGGTGATGCCATGGGCAAAAATCGAAGTAGAACTCTATTCCAGTTCCGAATATGAGCACAAAACAGTGATATGGTCCTATTGCATTGTGCTCATCCTATAGGCTTGGGAGTGCCCTTAGTCTTACTAGTGTAACATCGCCGCGTTCATTGGCGTACAGCTTGCGGAGGTTGTCTGTAGAGTGAGTGGTCCAAAGCAAAGTGATGCTATTTTTCGGTACTTGTAACAAACCTCCATGTTCAATGGTTTAGAAAACCAAGACACAGAAAACTATCTTAACTAGGATTGTTGATGGGGTTTGATTTTATCCTGGCAACAAGCAATGCATGCTATTGCATGGAGGCACTTACTGCATGCGCAATTTTCCAGATCTTTCTCCACCTCTTCGCTGCTTTGTTGTTATATCTCTATGAAGCTATCCATGGCTGCAGATTAGGGTATTTTCTTCAACATCCATCACTATATTGACCACTTCGTGCTTCTTACCCTTTTATATACAGTTATAATCCCAGCACCAAAAGATCTCCTAGACGTTGCAAAACCAAAATTCAAATTCATCAAAGTTCCTCCACCTCAGTGATATTCTAGAAATTAGGTCGTAGGCGTCTGCTGCCACCTTAATGATTTCGTCTTCAATCCAACGTACGAAATTATAACTTGAATATTGAAGGATTTCAAGAAGCAGTTGTTGTTTTTGAACCATTCTGGAAGACTGTAATGTACAAAAAAAAAAGAAAGCATGCTGATTCGACAGGAGTTGCATAGGGATAAGTTGAGACAGAAGAGCATGCAAACATGGAACAGTATCTTTCCCTCATTCCAGTCGCTTTAGATTGTCATTCAGGCGATTGCTTTCTTCTTGGCATAGTTATTACGATCCAATCAGAGTACACTTGATTCACAGGAGAATTGGTGTCTGGAATGTATTCTGTCATTTTTGGGGATCGACACAGACCCCTGGATCCACGAAGAAATCCTTTGCTGTTGAAACTTTTAATTTGCTACAATATCAAGACAAGTTCATAAAACAAACAGGGGGTTTAGACCACACTAGCTGAAGAAAGCAGGCCTGAGATGATCTACAAGGAAGTGATGGAAAATATACTTGAGATAGAAAAATCGACATTCAAGTGCTATTAGGCCTCATTCCAACCGGTAACAGACTGGCATTTCGGTGATGTTAGTTCCTAAAATAGGGCCAAGAATCAGCCTCCCAAGTGTTGAATCCTTATTACTTGTGACGCTGGTATTCACCTGTCTCCTCTGATCAAGGAAGCATCCCATTTTCAAAGCACTCTCCCACATCAAATGCTTATATATTTTTCAAAATGCCGCAGCTCACTTTAAGGACATCATGGCTGTCACTCCTAGTTGTGGTACTAGTGGCAATGTCTACTGTCAACGCGCATCCAATCTACCAGACAGATGAAGAGATGGAAAAAGGACAAGCCGGCACGCTTGAATCTCAATCACAGGTTAGTCACTCAGACATTGCACTATGTCATTACCTAGGCCACTGCTCACATCGGCCCAGAGGCTTATTCCAGACACCAAGAAGTACATCAATGCGCTCTTGCAAGGGTTGGGCCTGGAAGAGCCAACCACAACCACAACCGCAACACCAACACCAACACCAACCGCCACATCCACTGCCAGCGTCAAGACCAAGCAGGAAACGGCGGACAAGAACCTAACACAAACAACGCACATCATCTACTCGAGCTCCACTAGTCACACACCCACTTCTAGCAGTAATTCGGCGGGCTACACTCATGTTGTGAAAGACGCGTACAGCAAAAACAAACCGATCGAAAACATCCAGATTGGGCCTGGTTGGAATGGGGATCGGAAAGTTACCCCCGAGGATCTCCCCGCTGTCTCTGATACTTTGTACAGGGAACTGGAGAATCGATTGAACAATGTGATTGACAGCTCTGATGAGATTGGATTGGACAGCTTCCTGTGACAATGATGTTGTATGCTTCGAGAGCAGAAGGAAGCAATCCAAATTGATCAGATACGTTCACAATAGGCTATCGTTCGAAATCAAACTTGAGATATCGATGAGAATCCCACCGCAATTGATCATCAACTGTAGGGGTTGTGGCGTGACTCCCCGATGAATATAGATGGAAGCATGTATTCTAATCTCGGCCAGTCAATGGCAAAGACACTTCCGGCCTGTAGCCTAGGAGCTCTGCGAAAAAGGCCCAATTGGTTTGACACATGCACCTGCCGGAGACAGATATTGAGCTCTTTAAGACATGGGGCTCGAAGTTTTGCGGCCACTCCCGGGTGTTGAACGCTAAACTCCCTAAACTCCGTGTTCGTTTTCCGGTCACAACTCCGAACATCAGCTGTACAATTCCGCAGGTTATACCCGGTGCCCCGAGAAGTGCAGAGTAGTAGTCATTGGCATGAGGGTTTGCCTAGACGGACTGAGTGAGCTCACTCCGCTCGCGGCAAGAAACTGGGAATATCCTTGACTGCAATCTGAGGGCGGGGCACTATCTTGAAAACCATAAAAAGGCCCATCGCAGCCCACCATGTTCGACATTCAACCAACTATCTCATCTAAGTTTTCACGTTCACCTCCTACACTTAACCATGCCTTCTCTACTTGGAAAGGAAGTTGGCTCTACTGGCTATGGCACCATGAGTGCGAATCCCCGCAAACACCATAATTGATGGGTATTTTGCTAACCATGAAATCAGGAATGACCTGGAACCCGCAGCCTCCATCGGCAGAGGTGTGCTTTGAGACTCTTAACACTGCCCTGGAACTGGGTGCCAACTTCTGGAACGCTGGCGAGCTGTACGGCACTCCAGAATACAACTCTCTGCACCTGCTCAACAAGTACTTCACCAAGTACCCCGAGAATGCAGACAAGGTCATTCTGAGTGTCAAGGGTGGCTTGAAGAAGGGCTTGCTTGTCCCCGATGGCTCGGAAGAGAACATCCGTCGCAGCGTGGACGAATGTCTGCGTCTGCTTGACGGCAAGAAGAAGCTTGACATTTTCGAATGCGCACGACAAGACTCTGCGTTCCCTGTTGAGCAGACCATCAAGGTACTCGCCGAGTATGTTAAAGAGGGCAGAATTGGAGGAATTGGATTGAGCGAGGTTGATGCCGAGACGATCCGCCGAGCGTAAGTACCTCATTGCACCTTTATCTTTGATTTTTTTTATGCTCTTTGTGAAGAAAATATTACGGACAAACCCAACTCTGACTGCTTCTTAAGACAACAAGTGCACCCAATTGCTGCTGTCGAAGTTGAAATGTCCTTGTGGTCCACCGATATCCTCCATAATGACGTCGCCAAAACCTGCGCCGAACTGGACATCCCCGTTATTGCTTACTCGCCACTTGGCCGAGGCGTTTTGACCGGAGCTGTGACATCCTTGGCTGATATCCCCCACGGTGATATACGGCAACATTTGTCCCGGTTCCAGGAGGACAACTTCAAACACAACCTGAAGCTCATCAATGAGGTCACTGACCTTGCTGCTCGCAAAGGTGTTGCGCCTGCTCAGATTGCACTAGCATGGATCCGTACCCAGAGTGGCACGCCCGGCATGCCTACTATTATTCCCATTCCTGGCGGAACTACGAAGGACAAGGTGGTTCAGAACATGGGCGGTGCACAGGCGCTAACGGATTCCGAGATGGCCGAGATCAACACTATCTTGGAGGAACACACGGTTTCTGGGCCTCGATACTAGAGAGTTCCTGCAAGATATCTTTGGATAGTTAGACATAGATCAAAGCAAATGAGAAAATTTGTATGATGCCAATTGGTTTGTTGTATAGATCAGATCAAGTGTAGAAGAGTCAACACACAATCTCACAGGTGATTGGTGACTGTCAGCATTGCAAATTCTCTTAGTGATCATCATGTAGTAGGGCAATTCAAGATATTCGGTTTTACGTAGAGTCCTTTGTATAGGGTAGTGCGTATAAAGAGCAAAGGCCAGCTTACCATTGTTTGGTGAATTGTGTTGGAGTGTGAACTGTGGACTGAGGACTAGTTCGCTGACATCTAGGAGGTCTGTGCATTAGTAGATACATCAATGTATTGTTTTGGTAATTGATTAAATATCTTGAAAATAGTATGATAAAGAAAACGATGGTAAATCCATTCTCCATACGGAGTGCATGGAAGGAAAACGGACGAAGGAGAGGGAGAAGGGGCGTTCAGTTGCGGCCAGCTCGTGGATAGTCACGTGCCCAGGCTCTCCACGGTCGAGCACGTGATGTGATACGATGGCCTCCCTCGCGCAAGACATCTACGGTGTAATTTATAAACGGATCCAATTTGTTTGTTGCCACTTCGCTTTTTCTGCACGAGCTGTACCATCTAATATGGCTTCACGAGACTCTCCCGGTTCTCCTCTCTCCTCGGTGGGGTCCCTCGAGACTTCGGATCATGAATCCATGAAACATGAAAGCCGCGCGCATTCACCCTCGATGTCCAACATGCCGCCCTCCAAGCGTCGTCGTACTGGCATCGCATCATGGGATCGCCAGACTCCTCTCTCCTCTGCCCAAGACGAAATCAACCCACCTCCCTCCCCGACTGCCTCGATCTCCTCCGATAGCTCTGGCGATATCCCCAACTCTCCCAGCATCCTCACCCTCCTTGGCACCAATCAAGAAGATGACTACAGCGGCCAGAGCACCGACCAGGTCACTTTTTGTCGATGGGACGGATGCGATGTTGGCGACCTCGGCAACATGGATGGGTTGGTGCAGCATCTCCATAACGAGCACATCGGGAGCCGACAGAAGCGGTACTCGTGCGAGTGGACCGATTGCACCCGCAAAGGCCAAACGCATGCTAGTGCTTATGCCCTCCGCGCACATATGCGAAGTCACACTCGCGAGAAGCCATTCTACTGCACTCTGCCCGGTCCGTTGTCTCAGACTCAAACTCGAGTCCTCCAAACGGGGTACGATATTAATAGATCTCGAGTACTAACATTGAAATCCAGAATGTGACCGTAACTTCACCCGCTCCGATGCCCTGACCAAGCACATGCGCTCCGTTCACGAGACCGACACTATGCGCCCAATTGACTCCATCTCAAAAGTCCACGGTACCCCGGGCAGCACTACCGGCACCCCAGCCTCGAAGCTGCAACGCATCCGCTTGAAGCTGACCCAGCCTAGGGAGCCAGGAACGGAGGCTGAGCCACACACTGAAGCAATCACAATTGTTCCAACCCCCATCACAACTGACGCACACGATCCGGAAGAAACCTTGATGCCAGAGTTTGGCCTGGAGCTCGACTTCGACGCATCGGAGCTCGCCCTACCCCCGCACGATCTCTACCGTCTTCTCCGTCGACAGATTGCATGGGCTGGCAAGGAGGCTACACAGCTGCAAGCCGAGTGGGAGACAATTCGCCCGCAGCGCGAGCGCGCATGGCGCGAGAAGGAGGCTATCTTTGACGACCTCATTGATGCAGAGATTGGGCTGTTCAGTGCAATGGTTGGCTCAGTGCCCCCCGCACACCTAACAACCAGCCTTGAAAAGCTGCAACAGCAGCAACAGCAATTCCAAGATCAACAGGACCAGCTGGCGAAGTCGGCAGAGATGCCGATTTATGAGGGCAGCACTTAAGCTAGCTTGTCTTTCCTTTTCTCTCTCTTCCTCCTACTTAGCTCCTTCTTCTTCTCAAAATCACGAGGCTATGCTCGATTACTCTGGCCTCAGGACTGCGTCACTTTGCAGTTACCGTTTCATTTCTTTGTCCCCTCATATCCCGGCGTGCATGGCGTAAGTGAGTGCATCTTTTTATCTGTATCTTCAAATCAAAGAGAGGTGTCTAACAACGGAATGTATGAATAGCTTTTTAGTTTCTTTTTTTTTGGTTCCCTTTTCTGATGTGGCTTACAGGCCTCGCTCGCTCAATGACAGCTCACCACCATGGGTGACTACTACACTTACATTGTCAATAATCATGGTTTTCTTCGTGCACGGGCATTATAATGCAAGGCTAGACGGGAGATTTCATACCACAGTCGTTAATAAGGACGTGTACTTTTAGGACATCTTCATCTTCTTCCCAGTCACCCTTGGTCCCTGATCCCCCGGGGCCTGCCATTTTATGAGCCAGCCAGATCCCTACTTGTGCAGGTATGACACCTTTTTGGTAGCCTTTTCTTATGTCTTTCATTTAGATAACCTCCCAAACTCCGGCCCCACTCTCAAATTGGTGTTGCAGCTAGAATAGGACTTTTCCTTGTACGACTCTTGATAACCTGTTTGGGAATTCTTACAAGCATGTGTAGATAGATGCATGGGAATCGATAGGACTGGGCGGGCACCTTGCAGATACTTGTAATCTTAAATGATGATTCAAATTGAATCTAAAAGGTCCTGGTCTTACATTGCTTCTAACTGGAAATAAAAGCGAAGAATGTCAAATGACATGAACCCCCCCCCTAAATGTTTTTTTAGGAAAATCGGGAAACTAGTGGACGCCACTCCATACGATTGATGTGCTGAGGAAAAAAACTCAAATTGTCCTGGATTATGGATGCCACCATAGGAAGAGTCCTGGTATGCTCATGACATACACGAAAAGCCAACTTAAGCAAAGGGGAAATGGTATGGTTGGCTCATTTCAGTTGCAAAAAGACCATGAACAGCCAGTCCAAAGCTCCCCCACTAGAAAATTTCGATAAAAAAATGAAGGAAACACCAAAACACGCCATGCAGTGATCATCCAAGACCATTGGTCATGCTCATTTCCAAAGTTCTTCTTTCTGTGCTTTTGGGGCTAACGCAAAGAAGTCGACGCCATTCGCAATGCCATGCAACAAGTTGCATCCATATGTACCTTCAAGAACAAAGAGCAAAAGAGAAAGACGGAAGTCACATTGATGAGGACAGCTCAAGAAGTTGTGCGAGTTGTCGAAGGAGATGATAATAACATCGACTCCAAAAACTCAAGTCAAATG